AATTAAAAATATTATCTACAAATTATTAAAATTATTGCAAAAATAAATGTAATATTCAAGCGCTTTAGTCATGGCAACCATATACATTGTGCGCTGATTCCCTTTACGGGATACGCTGAATAGGCAGCTAGAAGCAGGAAATATGCATGTTTAAGTTTGCTTGTATGGAACATCATCAGACTTCAGTGTCAGTTCTCACTCATTTGTGCATATTTTACAGTCATTGCATTGGAGACTGGATGCGTAATGTACAGTACAATAGCCGCACATCACCAGCAGTGCATGTGTAGCAGCAGTAGATATGGAACGGGTCCGGCAGTGTATGTATGTTTCTAAGCCATCTTCTGAATCAAGTGCGTATCACTTGATCATTATTAAGATAAAAATATTTTCTTTGCGCTCAGACTCTGATTTCTGCAGTATAGCACAATTTAAGAGTTTTCACAGCCAAGCAATCCTCTCCGCAGGCCTGGATTTACGGAGGTGCTAGAGGGTGTGAAGCATCCTCAGTTGAAGCTGTAATAATAACATATTGGCAAAACAGTGTGCATTTGTGTTTGCACTCTGGAGAGTGTCAAAGGTTTCTATTTCCAACATGTGTTTTGCCCTGAGTAATGTAACCAATCACAGACATATCTGTTTAATTTCATGAATGCAATGGCCAATCAGAGGCATTAAAGTTAGAGTCCACTCACTGCTCAAAATGCCGTTGATTTTGTCCAGTGCTGAGTGTTGTGCACTCACGAATCATCTCATTATAACAAACAAAGTGTACACATGATGTAAATAACAGATTAATTTCGTAGTGTAGAGAGATTAATTGATTTCAGGGGAACTTCGTAAGATCACGATAAGATTAGTGACAGCTTGTTAGTAATTGTAAAGGGAGTGCTCTTTGCGCCATAGCAATGGACGGGACAATATATTTCCAAATAGATATGCATTAAGGTTAGAGCACCCTCGCTATTTTCAGAAGCACCCTCAGTGATTTGATTCTGGAACCGGACCTGCCCCACTATCATTAATACAGTACTATGTCTGTTCTAAACGGGCGATTTTTAACATCTAATTTAACTTCTCGATAATTATATCATGTAATTTGTGTGCTTAACTTAATGGTATATTTAATCTAAATGTGCAAATATAGGTTTACTTCATTGCTATCACACAGTAAAAGAGTGTGTTCAGATATGCGCACATAATTACGCCATTTACTGTTTATACATGCTGATATGTGCGTGACAAGCTGACTGAAGCAAATATATTTTGTGATACATGAATGAATTAAATTATGAAGAAGGACTGGAGATGGATGCAGACTGGAGATGCATTTACTTTGCATTATAAGCCTTCTACATGTTATATTTTTTCAACGGTTTTCAAGTGGTGGGAACAGAATCGACTTTGGCAAAAAGTGGTGGGGACATGTCCCACCCATCCCACCCACAAATTACGCCTATGAGTAAATCGTTGTTATGTAGGAAAATGGTTAATTATACTATACAGTCTTTATACAAAACTATTTGACCACAGAATGCTGTGATTGGCCAGTCAGAGTCAGGTATTTCAGAGAGACATGTAAAATGATTGGTGAAGGCAGAAACCGAGCGGGGATAAGTAGAGGTAGTGTGAGAGAGTCAGGAACCGAAAGGAGGGATATGGCAGACAGAACGAGAAAGCAGGAGGCCCCCTGGTTTTAAATCCTCTATTTGCCGTAAGGAGCAATGACCCAAAACAAGTGATTCCAGCCAGTCAAGCATAAATCAAGCACACTGGCCCTACCAGCTTCACCCCTAGAGTCAGGGATCTTCATTACTGAAAATTGATTGTCCTTCCCCACTTCCTCCCTTCCATAGGACTGTGAACTCTCGCAGTGCCCTGTCACTCATCCTGTTGCCCCAGAGACCAAAGTGATATCATATCCTAGTCATAAAACACAGTGGCGCTTTGGATCTTGGACACAGGTACATTCTTGATAATGTGATGTATATTAATTATTATTAGTAGTTATTATGCTAGACGCTGTAGTAGGTTCTGTAGATATCCTAGTTAGTAATAGTTGTTCTTTACAATAGTGCAGTGCCACCTGTGGGAAGGGCACCCGGATGCGCTACGTAAGTTGCCGTGACCAGCAGGGTGGAGTAGCAGAGGAATCAGCCTGCTCCGATCTTCCAAAACCTCCTGCTAGTGAGGTTTGCTCCATAGTGGCGTGCGGACAGTGGAAGGTTCTGGAATGGACTGCGGTAAATAAAATACACCTTTTTTTATTTTAATGTAATGTCCTGATTATTTGCATGCATATTTCAAAATGCTAAAATATTTGATTATTTTCAAGTTTAGATTACTTTTTTTTTTGGACCCCACTGTATTTATTCAGTATATACAGGTATGTGCAATATTAACATTCCACTGTGTTAGCCAACATTCTTTCAACACTGAAAGTATTTGTATTTTCATTCACAGCTGTTCTACAGTCTAACATCATAGACCATTGACCTTGATCATTCTGCTCTCATTCTGGTGTTTAGAGCTCAGTTGTAATTGGAAACTGATGAGAGTTATAGAAATATCTGAAAAAGTCAAGCAAGCTAAACTAGGGACTATTTTTCTTTCTTTTTCAATTTAAGTAATAGTTCATATCAAAATACAAATCCTGCCAATACATAGCTTGGCAGTCATTTTAAAGTTCAAATTAAGTGTGGTAGGTTATCATCTTAATATATGGTGTTATTGTTCAGTGTGTTTTCTGTATAATTATGTGTTTGGTGTGTGTATCTGTCTGTATTTACAGTGCTCCGTATCCTGTGGTCAGGGTACAACTACACGGCAAGTAGTGTGCATGAACATCAGCGATCAAGTTGTGGATATGAGTGAGTGTGACCCAGATGATCAACCAGCAACAGAGCAGGAGTGTGCCATGTCCCAGTGTCCGTCTCGCTCCAGCGACCACGGGGGCTTTTTACCTAACCCTGATTCTCGAAAAAAATCGGTTCCCGCCGGACAAGCTGACCGTAACAGAGCTGGCAGACTTCAGTCTCATCAATGGAGGACTGGACCATGGGGGGCGGTAAGTACCTCTAAAAATGATTATATCTCTGCATGTCAATGATGTTTGATTTACTTCAAAAACTAGTCCTGTTAGAGACCTTTTGCAAACACAGGAACAGAATGGCAGAGATGGGCACTCGAGTTAGTGACTCGGACTCGAGTCGCATTTTTATAGACTTCAGACTTGACTCAGACTCGACCTGAAATGACTCCAGACATGACTCGACTCGAGGAAAAGGACTTGTGAATATTTTATATATAACTGATATTCAAAAGGCGGACCGCATCCTCACCCCGGCATCCATCTGGACTGTGAGCCGTAACAGCAGCACTATTTTAAGTGACCATTCAAAACAGCGGAGTGGATCACATAACAAGCGCTCAGGGTCGTTTATGGTAGATATCTTTCAGCGCTATAGGCTACTCTAGTATTTTTATCTAAAGCCAAACGTACTTTATTCAAGCCCTTTCAGCTCCATGCGCTTTCTCTCTCTCCAGACGCGCGCCAGCGCGGATGATGCGGTTATTTTAACAACAACAGAAACACGGAGAGCAGCAAAATTATAGATTACTTTCACTAAAACACAGCAGAAAAAAAACAATGCTGCAAATATAGTTATTTTTCTTACTATCTATCCATAACCTGTTCAAGCCAGATGTGGCAAGACGTTTCTGATCTACATTTAGCATTATTAAAATGTAGGCTAAGAACATTTAAAAAGAATCATGTAATTACAATTGGGAAATTGTTATTAGATGGCTAGGATAGAACTTAAACTTTGAAACTGCTGGTTATCTTTCTTTTCTGCTCAAGATGAGAACGTTTTGATTATTCCAGACGCGCGCCAGCGCGGATGATGCGGTTATTTTAACAACAACAGAAACACGGAGAGCAGCAAAATTATAGATTACTTTCACTAAAACACAGCAGAAAAAAAACAATGCTGCAAATATAGTTCTTTTTCTTACTATCTATCCATAACCTGTTCAAGCCAGATGTGGCAAGACGTTTCTGATCTACATTTAGCATGATTAATCTGTAGGCTAAGAACATTTAAAAAGAATCATGTAATTACAATTGGGAAATTGTTATTAGATGGCTAGGATAGAACTTAAACTTTGAAACTGCTGGTTATCTTTCTTTTCTGCTCAAGATGAGAACGTTTTCATTATTGTAGATATTTTTAGTAGATAATGCTTTTAAGTAAAATATTAAAATAGTATAGATTTCAGGAGGAAAAGCCTGAACAGAAACAGTATTTTTTTTTTGTCACATGGCCTGTAAAAATACAATGCGTGTAATTTATTTTTTTTTGTCCGGACCTCTGCTTGGAAGAAAATATAGATACCACGCCTCTTGGAACTTTAACTGAATACCCCTGACTTATATCAAAAATAAATAATTTATTTGTATGGTTTTGTAATATCTGTGTCACATATTTCCATACGTGTCATGGTAGATAGGACTCTTATTATAGAATTTGATCACAGAAAAACTGTTAACAGTTTTGAACATGGTAATGGATTAAAACATATAAGTAACAGGCTGGATGTACATTAACCTTACATCTTAACACCTCTTTTTAAAAAAAAAAAAAAGGCAGATCATATATTTTGTCTATAGCCTATAAAATAGCTTCATAAATAGGAAGGTTTCAATACATGAGGATTCTAATGGGATTTTTTTAGCGAGCCATTAAATGACTTGAGACTCGACTCGGACTCGTGACCAAAGACTCGAGACTTGACTCGGACTCCAGGTTAAAGACTTCAGACTTGACTCGGACTCCAAGTTAAAGACTTTTGAACATCTCTGCAGAATGGCATCTAAGGTGTTGATCTCACCAGTGCATGAACTCTTTAAGTTATCCAAGCATCAACGTTTCCTCTTTCTGATAAATGCTGCTGTTTCCTTCATGATATCAGTGGTTTAAATAGTCTCTAGAATTCAAAGAACAGCTAAATGTTGTGCAGCATTTGGGAAGCTCTTCCTTTTTGTCTTAAAGTAGGTATTTGTAGACCTTTTGAAAAGTGCTTCCTTTATAGCTATATATAACTTGCATCCTTCCAAATGATGGTAGTCATGAGGAATTTAATGATTCCGATTCCACTTATTAAGGATTTCATTCATGATACGTAAAATTTTACCAATAGTAAGCATCACACCATCTATCTATCTATCTATCTATCTATCTATCTATCTGTTAAAGACTTGTGAACATCTCTGCAGAATGGCATCTAAGGTGTTGATCTCACCAGTGCATGAACTCTTTAAGTTAACCAAGCATCAACGTTTCCTCTTTCTGATAAATGCTGCTGTTTCCTTCATGATATCAGTGGTTTAAATAGTCTCTAGAATTCAAAGAACAGCTAAATGTTGTGCAGCATTTGGGAAGCTCTTCCTTTTTGTCTTAAAGTAGGTATTTGTAGACCTTTTGAAAAGTGCTTCCTTTATAGCTATATATAACTTGCATCCTTCCAAATGATGGTAGTCATGAGGAATTTAATGATTCCGATTCTACTTATTAAGGATTTCATTCATGATACGTAACATTTTACCAATAGTAAGCATCACACCATCTATCTATCTATCTATCTATCTATCTATCTATCTATCTGTCTATCTGTCTATCTATCTATCTATCATATCTATCTATCATCTAATCTCGTTCAAAAGTTTGGGGCATATTAGAATAATTTCTGAAGAATCGTGACAATGAAGCAGTGTTAATTATGACGGCAAATTTTGATTTAGTTTCAGTCATAGTCTTTTGACTAATATGCCATTTAGTTTTAGTCACATTATAGTCATCTGAATGGTTTTAGTTTTAGTCTAGTTTTAGTCAACTAAATATCATAAGATTTTAGTCGACTAAAATCTAATAGGTTTAATTACAGAGTAATGCATTTATTAAGCATTTCTCAAAAATTTTCAAACTCATAATATATCCGTGGTTTGGTGCGATGCTGTCTGCACTGGATGCAGCGCGGTGCGACACGACAAATCCCTTACAGTAAACTGATGCCTCGTTCTATTTATGACGTACTGACACAAATGATTTGCAATGGTCGCTTTGTCGCGTCCAGTCTCAAGCTGTTGCGGTGCGAAGCGACGCGTCAACTGTTGCGTCCAGTGCAGTCATTTTATTTCGTTATCGTCTAATTTTCGTTGGTGAAAAAATGTTGTTGACGAACATTATGATGAAAATTATCTGTCACCGAAATTAACACTGCACTGAAGACTGCTGTAATGGCTGCTGAAAATTCAGGTTTACATCACAGGAATAAATTACATTTTTAAATATATTCAAATTAGATCTGTCACCGAAATTAACACTGCACTGAAGACTGCTGTAATGGCTGCTGAAAATTCAGCTTTACATCACAGGAATAAATTACATTTTTAAATATATTCAAATTATATTTTAAATTTTAATAATATTTTACAATAATACAGTTTTTCCTATTTTTTGGATCAAATGAATGCAGCCTTAGTGAGCATAAGAGACTTATTTAAAAAACATTTAATAAATCTTACCAACCACAAATTTTGAACGGTAGTTTATATGGTAGTGAATTCAAAACAACATAAAGACACTTTTAATTATTGTTTATGTATTGTTTTTGCCGTTCTGTGTTTCTCTCATCACATTTAATTCAGACTGTTCAGAACTTATCTAAAACATTATTTCTTTTGCCATACCATCAAGAGACAAGAGTATTTTAGCCATGAGTGCATAAAACAAAATATCATTCGGTTTCAGCAAAAATTGAAAAACCTGCTGCTTGATTCCCAGTCATAATCTTTCCCATCAAAGTTGTCAGTGTTGGTCAGTGTTTATGTATTGACGAATATTTTCTGTCAAGACTAATGGGATGTGAAATTGGTCCATTGAGAATGTGCTTGCTAGTGTTTGTGATTGTGTGTGTGTGACCCTTCTCTCATTATGTAGCTTCTGTTTCTCTTTCACATCTCTCAGTGTTCAAGTACCTGTGCTGGAGGATTCCAGAGGCGTGTGGTGGTGTGTCAGGATGAGAACGGCTTCCCTGCCAACAGCTGTGATGAAAGCACTCAACCCATAGAGCAGCGCTCCTGTGAGTCCGGCCCCTGCCCTCAGTGGTTCTATGGCAGCTGGGGTGAGGTAAGATGCTCTGAATTGAATTGAAATTATTTTATTGTATTTAATCAAATATATATATATATATATACTACTGTTGAAAAGTTTGGGGTCGGTAAGATTTGTTTCAGGAAATTAATAGAAATTAATATTTTTATATTTTATTTAGAAAGGACACATTAAAATGTTTAGAAGTGACAGAAAAGACATTCATAATGTTACAAAAGATTTCTATTTCAAATATGTTCTTTTGAACTTTCTATTCATTAAAAATTCCTGAAAATAAATTCCACAAAAATATTAAACAGCACAACTGCTTTTAACATTGATAATATTAAGAAATGTCTCTTGAGCACCAAATCAGCATATTATAATGATTATAAAGGATCGTGTGATATTGAAGACTGGGATAATTTAGCAATGCCATAAATTACATTTTAAAATGTATATATATATATAGAATATAGAAAATATATCGACCCCAAAGTTTGAATTGGTGTACGTATGTAGATGCTATCCATTAACTAAGTAAGATTAAGGTTTTGGTCACATTACACAATTTCCATTTTAATCACACTTTTACATTTTTAATCACATTTACAACCTCATTCAAATGTGTTTTGTATCTGATTTGTACATTTCTTGCATTAGGGTCAATATAAAATTTGTTTCAAAGGATTTGAGTAGGATAGACCAAAATATCTTATTTTGTCTATTTGAACGAAGCTTTAGAAGTGTCCTTACTCAGGACAATACTGTGACATTATGACATTTTGACATTATATATGTGGTCCAAACTGTCCAAAATTATATCTGTTAATGAAACAAGACTTTCACTCTTTCTTTTCTTTCACCCATACTCTGCTTCTGCCTCCCTAGTGTTCAAAATCCTGCGGAGGAGGGATAAAGACCCGGTTGGTCGCTTGTCAGCGGCCCAACGGGGAGCACTTTAACGATCTGAGCTGTGAAATTCTTGACAAACCACCCGACCGAGAACGGTGCAATACTCAGTCCTGCTCTATTAACCCTGACTGGAGCACAGACCAACGGAGCTCGGTACGCTCGTAACTATTTTAACTTTCTCCCTTCATAAGTTCTCATTCTCACAACACGCCAATGTTTCTTTACACTCAAGACATGAAGAAAACAAACTGAAACTCAGATGGTTTGATCTTTGAGTAAGCAAATAGCTGGGTTTAACGTTTGCTGCTTATCAGCGAGTTTCGGTTGCACTTAAAGATCCACCAAACATGCAGTCAAATATTGTTTTAGAGTGTTATTTCCTGACTGAAAAAGTGAGCTTCTCTTTGGGCGATGTGTTTGTTTGAATGCTGTTTTGTTTGATTTTTTTTCCCTATTTAATTTTCTATGTTAGGTTTCTTTTGCCCAACGCAGCTGTACTTTGGATAAATACAAATCATTGTGACGCCCTTTGTTGTGGCTTATATATAATATAGTATATAGTATTTCGAATACATGGGCAGCAATACTTGCTCCACTTTAGAGCTGAAACATCTGGCCACAGGCAGTTTACTTTATTATATTGAAACTATCTCCCTGTGTTTTTCTATAGCTCTTCATAATTCGTTTCTCATGATTTTTTTTTTCAACTATACCTCACATGAACTCAGCTAGCCATTGAACTTTTTCAAATTTATGATGGTGCTTTTTCAGTACAAGGGAGACTTTATGTGAAAATCTGTGTATAGTTGCTGTGTTTTTCTATCGCTCTTCATAATTCGTTTCTCATGATTTTTTTTTTTCAAATATACCTCACATGAACTCAGCTAGCCATTGAACTTTTTCAAATTTATGATGGTGCTTTTTCAGTACAAGGGAGACTTTATGTGAAAATCTGTGTATAGTTGCTATATTTTTGTATATTTAAGGTAACTTACAGAAGTACAGTACATTTTTAAGTAAATACAAAAAGTTGTGACGTAAACTGAAATCAAATGTACTTTTGTGTCATTTTATGTCTGTTGATTTGTTCTGCAATTGTAATATTTTTCTAGGTTATTTACAAGATCAGTATTATTTCAATTTTGTGTATAAAGCAACAAAAACCATGTTCTAGTCTAGTGTGTAACATTTCTCATTGTATTTCCCTCAGACCCAGGGAAGGCCAGTTTTTTTTGTTTTGCTTGTTGGCCAGCTACTTGTGTCTACCTCATTCTCAATGAAGAGCCCCACATACTAGTGGTGCAACGGATCACAAAACTCACGGTTCGGATCATATTACGGATTTTGAGTCACGGATCGGATCATTTTTTGGATCAGCAAAAAACAAATTAGTGAAAGCTTACTTTAAGTATTTCTATACCACAGCAAAAACTACTAGCTTAACTAATAAAGTTAGTAATAAAACAAGAACAATTGCACAAATTACAAGCATAGATGAATACAATAAAACACAGTTACAAATAAAGTCAGTAACAGTAGCATTCAGGTGCAGAAATGTAATAATTAAGTGTAAAATAACACAATAGTACTCACTGCACAAGTTAAATACAGATTAATCTTTGTTAGAGCTGTGGTGTTATTTGATTAGCAGACAGAAACTGCTGGCTGCTGTCTCTTTAAGACCAAATGCACGGACCTAATACTGACACACATCCGGTTTCTTTCTCAGCTGTTTACGTTCACTTAAGACATAACCGACTGTGTTTACTAGAATACTTGCCAAAACGGGTATTTTAACATAACTTTGTGTGTATGTAAAAGAGGAATCATTTCGGTGTTCACGCCGTGTCTCTCTCCGCATGTGTGCGGCAGCGGCTGAGCGCACAGAAAACAGCGCGCGAGTTAAAACTGCTTGAATGTGTAAACTGGCAAGACAAAACATGTGCAAATGATAAACTTTCACTCTATGATGGTTAAACGTAACAGTTAATCCGCGAATCACATGCGTGCCGAACCGTGCAGCCTGATCCGTACTCATCCGTTGCACCCCTACCACATACGTCTTCCATCTGCTTTATATTTGTGGATAGTGATAACAAATGCTAAGCTATCCTATAACACCCATAAGCAACAATTAATTGCTTAATTTGATCTCTAATCTCTCATGGATATAGTAGTATATATTTAAAGAATCATACAGTGATGTAAAAAAGTTTCCCAGCACAAGAAATGGCACAAATAATTATAAAATGTCCATTCTAAGTATGATTTATTAAATTGTAATTTATCTATTAACACTGATGTAATGTAATCCAATATCTTAAAAATTACTCTTTCCATGGGGTGTACTTATTTTTTCACAGCACTGTATTTATACAATTCTTTTTTTCCCAAAGATGTCATGGTGCTATAGTGTCTATGGTGCTATTCCCTTTCATGACATGGTCTGTTAATGTAACCAGACTGAAAATTAAGCGGTTTAAATCAAATGGCAGTATTCATGAAGGTGTACATGAACATTTCTGTATGTTATTGTATGTATTTGTATTTATTTCTGCTGCCATATGTTTGTCCATATTTGTTTGAACCTGTTAATGATGATGGTCAAATTAAACAACAAGTTATACTTTTTCTTTTTTTTATTATTATTATTGATGTGGTTTGGAAAAGTAGGCAAATTTTTGTAATTAATAATACTAGTAGATCTGTGAATTAGTTATCTAGGAAAGAAAATGGCTTTGAATGTTGAATGTCTTGTATTATTCTGAAGGTGTTCAGAACCTTTTTTTTTTTTTTAAAGAGCATTTTAATCTGCCGATTAAGCATATTTTCTGAATATGTAATGAATCAAAGAAGGTACAAAATCACTGAACTTAATATCTGTTGTTTCTTTGTGTCAAACTTCTAATTCTGTATGGCTTTTTGTGTTATCCTGCTGCTTTTTTAAAATTTCTCATCTGAGTATTGAACATCTGTATTACCTGTTTTAATTGTCCTTAAATGGGGGTCTTTTTTGGTGCTCACTCATCTCAGTACTTGTAGAAGAAGTCTACTACCGCTGTCTATTTCCTTTTGGACGGTACAGGATATTAACCAGCCCTGATGGCCGTGATATGGTCACAGTCAACTGAATGAGCATACATCAAAACAACAATGGCAAGAGCATGGCGGGCCTTTGATCTGTGGGAAGGTCTTTACCGGCCTTCCCAGCTCATCTAATCAGAATGGACGCACTTCTCAGAAGGAGTTTTATTCTTATGGGAAAAATGAACGGCAAGAGCAATGGCCCCACATAGCATGGAGGCCTCTGCGGCCTGGATATCTGTGTGCAGTTTGATACTTGGAAGTTCTAACGTTGGAATGTAGTGAGGCACGTGGCCAAGTACATTGCTATGCCTGGACTGATAATTTGTGGCAATAATTTGAAAGAAGAACAAAGCAATTTTGCATAGTTCAAAAAGCCCCTCCCCCCATTCAGATGCATTCAGATGTCATGAATTGGAATATTTGTTTTGAACATGTTTTATTAGCATCACAAATATACAGAGATGTTTTGTTCATTTTTGACAAAAAATCTCATATATACATTTATCATTTGTATTTTAGTTTTCCATTGTCAATTTGATGAAATTTGGAAATAGTTCACTCTGGGAAGTAAAGCTTGTGCATTTCAAGATTGTGGGTGGTTTTTAGATGAGAATTTTTAAGTAAACGACCCTGCATTGGAATCCTTTTGAGTGGAAAAGTTGGTAATTTGTGCTCTTTAAATCAGTGGTGCATTCGTTTAACAAGATACATAAATTCTGAACAACAGTATGACAGCTTTCCTCACCTTAACTGCAACTGAAATAAATGTCTTGCCATATGATAATAAACTAAATGATTGATATGGCCCCTAAATATTCACTTTGATGAAATTTGGAAATAGTTCACTCTGGGAAGCAAAGCTTGTGCATTTCAAGATTGTGGGTGGTTTTTAGATGAAGAGAATTTTTAAGTAAACGATCCTGCATTGGAATCCTTTTGAGTGGAAAAGTTGGTAATTTGTGCTCTTTAAATCAGTGGTGCATTCGTTTAACAAGATACATAAATTCTGAACAACAGTATGACAGCTTTCCTCACCTTAACTGCAACTGAAATAAATGTCTTGCCATATGATAATAAACTAAATGATTGATATGGCCCCTAAATATTCACACACACATTATAGCTGTATGTAAAAACCATTTCAAATGTCAATAATTAAAATAACAGCCATTTTAAGTGCTTTAGATCCGATGACAGAAATTACCAGCAAGAGTGTGATACAATTTAGTAAATGTAAGTTTACTGATGTTTCATATCAACTAAAAAGACCTTCACACTCACATTAAACTAAAAGTATGCATCTTTTATACTTGTAACTGCATAGAATTCATAAAAGAATATTATATATTACACATTCTCACACATAAACACACACTGTAACATTCTGAGGCAGAGTAAGCAAGTGTATGATTTATTATGAATCAATATCTAGGGCTTTGGATGAATTATTAACGTGGATCATTATAACAATGGTACATGGAGTTTTTGCACTTGTAACTGCATAGAATTCATACAAGAATATTATATATTACACATTCTCACACATAAACACACTGTAACATTCTGAGGCAGAGTAAGCAAGTGTATGATTTATTATGAATCAATATCTAGGGCTTTGGATGAATTATTAACGTGGATCATTATAACAATGGTACATGGAGTTTTTGCTTTAAAGATAAATGTGTAATTTTGTATTATTTTATGTGACTTTTTCATTTAGTTATTTTGCTGCAGCTGTCCATGTTGTTGGTATTGCATTTTGTATAATATGTATTCAATTGAACCAATTGTATATATTTTGGTACTGTAAATATTTGTAAAAGAAATATATATATGAATGTTAAACCGATTGCCCAAGACCTTTTTTGTTCCATTTTCAAAATAAATTCCATCACCTTAAATACTACTGTGACATACTGACTTGCTTGAAAAAGTATCCCCGGGAACGCATTATCCAATTGGGGAGTTTCTGTTCTCTTAGTTCCTGAATTTCATGAATGCATGCTGGGAATGGACTCGTTGAACTTCAGACTTGTCGCATCATATCCATCCTCCCTCTCTGGGCCCTTTGATTATCCATTCCTCTCCTTTCCTGGGGTCCAGGGAAGCCTCTCTCTCTTTTCTATTCATCCACTGGTGCCAGAAAATATGTCACTGTTTCTTCGGCTCAGAAAGCAGATGTAGCGACTGCCATTCATTATGATTCAGAGACACTTTCTTTCCCCTTTTTATAAGTAATATTTGAGGTAAAACAAATGATTTTTGTATGCTGCTCCCATTGTATATAATATATTATGTTGTTGGTATCTTATCCTGTAAATGTCCATATACTAATTCTCCACATAACATGATGTACTGTCAAAATTGTAATACATTTGAACGTAATTACAATGATTACCACAGGATTGATCTATTCTTTTGTTTACTTTGACATACCCATAAATTCACACATTTAGACATAATCAGCTTCATAATCAAACATAATCACCACAAATGACACACTAATTAGGCTTGTGTTTATCAAGCAGTTGGATTTCACTGTAGCATTTTTTCCCCTTGCAGTGCTCGTTGTCCTGTGGGAGAGGATACAAGTACTGCAATGTAAATTTAAAGATGAATTTTCAGCAGCCATTAATCATTCTAATATGCTGATTTGGTGCTCAAAGAAA